CTACTACTACTACTACTGCTACCCCTGCCCTTGCCCTTACCCCTACCCCTAGACCTACTCCTACGCCTACTCCTGGTCTGCTCCTACTGCTCCCACTGCTACTCGCCTACTCCTACTCCTACTACCTGTACTACTAGCTGCTTCGAAGGGCCTGAAAGAGCAGCCAGATGTCCGTTCTGCCAAGTATTGTAAAACAAGCTAGAAGCCAGAACCCATAGATGTGCAGTTGTAGAAAGTTTGCCCACCGACCCTGGATCCTGACTTTAAGCCGCTCAGGGCTCGCTAGCGTAACGCGCGCGCAGCAAGGGATTTCAGTGACTTCACTGATGATTCCCTGAACCTAAGGCTGTAAGAAAGATGGTCCAGAGCCCCAGCCCTAAACCCCCGAACCGCAAACCTCAAATCCTAAACCCTTCAACCCGAAACTCCCCAAGAAAGCCTCAAAGCCCAAACCCTTCGTAAGCCCTTACTAAGATCCCTTGAGCCGCGGCCTGAAATTCTCAAAGCTCGGCGGCTTCCGAGGACCTCGCCTGGCTTCGCGAGAGAAGACTGGAAGCCACTCGTCCCCCGTTTGGGGGTTCCGTTAAGGGTTCTTTGAAAGGGGCTCCTACAAGGGTACTCTACTACGTGCACTTCGGGGTTTCGGGGTTTAGACGTTTAGGGTTGAGGGTTGAGGGCTTACTGCAGTAGATCTCTCGTCGGGACCCCTTAAACCTTCTCGGCACCACGTGCGTATGATTGCAGACCACGCGAAACCAAGCCACGCCACGCGAAGCCATGTTGAACGAGAACTCTTTAAAGCATTTGTCTAGCAGAACCCCTTGCCTGAGAGAAGCCCGTGTCAAACACTGAATTCTATCTAACAGAACCCACTATCTAACAGAATGCATATGTTACCCATAGGACTGGCTATGATGAGGCAGGAAATCTGAAGAAATAGGAGCACTTAAAGCGACTGAAAAACTAAATAGATAAATGCTTCTTTGCCTATCTATATTCATATATATATATATATATATGTATGTATATATATATATATATATATATGTGTGTGTGTGTGTGTACTTATTTACAGAGGACCCCCAATCCGTGACCGACATACAGCTACATAATAACCTGTGATCCATCAAGGCGGACCTTCATCCCCGTCAATCCCCACAAAGAAGCCCATCGAACTCCTCATGAACCCCTGGGGTAGTGTAGCCCCTAGAAAGCCCCAGCAGGTGAACATTTAGTTGCCCCTAGCACCCCGCACCATTGGAATTGTGGAGACCCAAACGACTACGCCACCCCTCACCAGTGAATGCGCCGAAAATGCAAGTTTCGAGGATTCCGAGTTGTGGGTTCAGCCACATTGTGAACATCAGTTCCACCCCCTCGACCAACCCCAAAATTTGGACTCCTACGAGAATCTCGATACAGGGACCCCTTTTGGGGACCCTTCCGTAAACCCCAAATATCCAAGTTAGAGATCGCAACCAGGGAAGTGGCTTCGCAACTTTCCGACTTGCCCTCGCCGGGGGTCCTGTCGCAGGGGGACGTGTTCAGAGAGACTCGAAGGTAGGCTTTATTGGTTGGATACTTCTTGTGTTTTTTTTCGTTTATTGGGCTTCAGAGGATCTGGCTACTGCTAGTCTTCAGAGGTTGTTACTTAGGGGTACTTAGAAATAATTTTTAATCTTTGGTTACTATAAACCCTAAGAAGCAGCTAAAATTATAATTTTTGCTAGGGGTCTAAGTTCAGTATAGGTTAGGGGGCCCCTCTAGACTTCATCAGGCTTCCCTGGAAGGCAGGGGATCCTTTACGGACTTTGTAGGGGCTGTGGCGAACCAGGGTTTGGATAGGAAAAGGGTAGGAAAAGGGTTTAGGGTTTAGGGTTTAGGGTTTAGGTTTCAATTTAATAGGGTTTAAGTAGAGGTCAGGGGAAGGATTCAAGGACTCCAATACCCTTCAGTTCATGAATGTGTATATGAAATACAGAAGCCTGCATGCTTCCCAACATTTATAGGTGTTCCTGTTTTATCTATAGCCGAATATACCCCAAAAGCTCTATTCGCACTTTCAAGACCCCGACACGAGTCTCTTTGTGACGGCCACAATTTGCACATAAATCATCCTCCCGTTGAATGCTTTGCGGCACATTTTGCTTGTGTTTTAAGGGGACTGTGTGTTTTGCGAGCAGTGGAGAGCAAAAGCTTGAGGTTCAAGATGTTGAGGCCAACGCTAACATCAGACAGGGGCCTGAGCAGTTGTTGACACTGTTCAGCTTCAGTCCCTTAAAAATATGCCGAGACTGTAGTGTGCCCCAAAATCCCATTAAATCCCCTTAATGCTTAGTAAATCCCATTAAATCCCATTCTGTTTCTTGGGCCCCAGGGCTCAGGGCCTTGAGAGCTAAGCTCTCAACCCGAAGCCCCTAAAGGCTTAGCGTGGAAAGCACTTTGTGTGTGTCAGACCGTAGGATGCCGGATGCGCTGCTTTAGCTTCAGAATGAGTGGGCATACCGGAACTTGAGAAACCTGCGGAACTCGAGCTGAGGTGGAAAAGATGACGTGAGCCCATCCCGTGGCGTCGCCGCTTCATCGGGCCCGCTGTTTTAGGCTCGGAACTGACAAAGTCTAAGCACAACCAGCCCCCGACCTGAAAGCGACGGAGTTTAGACCCTCAACAACGACCCTAAGCCCCAAGCTTTAAGCCCTAAGCCCTCAAGCATTCGAAGGCAGGGAGGGAGAGGTGTGAAAACGTTCCGAGTACGTCATGCACCAAGCGAAGAGCTGTCGGGTAAAATGCCCGCCAGCTCCCTTCAACAATTCTTGTTGTCAAGTAATTCTTCTTGATTTGTGTCTGACTGCTGTCCTGATAAATAGTGGTCGTATAACTGCGGACAATATGATTGGCACTGTTCTAGTTCGTGTTCTGGCTGCTGCTTCTCTCGTGAGGACTTCCCCTGGGCATCAGTTTGCAACTTGCTGCCAGTTTTCAGTGATCCGGCGAAGTGCTTCAGGACGATGTAGGCCGTCCGTCGGTGCTGAACCTCTCTTGAAGACTGTTTGGGGCTTGGTGTAGGCAACCCGGATTCCGAAGACCGAATTCCCAACCCCAATGGCATCAAGCCCCGCAGAGCAACCGAGCGTCGGTTGAGCATGTCGGGTTTTAGGAGCCTTGACCCATGCACTTTGAAAGACTTGGCCGGACCGGACATTTCCGTTCACAGCGTGTTTCACCCGCGGTCATCGAGAGGGCCCGGATGGGATTCCGTGAGCTGATGTTACGCCGTGCATAGCGAACCGGGGAGCCGAGCCCGATAGACACTTACTTCATCAGCCGCTCCCCCTTCTTCTAGTTGCGAAGCGGACCTGTCAAAGGCAGGCCGCACAAGCGAGAGGTTATGATTTGCCACCCAAAAGAACTGCTTCAAGTGTGTGTGTGTGTGTGTCTGCGTGTGCGTGCGCGGACTCGGTTTTTGGAAGATGTCGTAAATTAGAATAAGAAGCCTTACAGCCTTCAAGCATGGGCATATTCCTCAATTCCTGTGCAAACGGGAAGCAAGCAGTCGCATTCAGGCTCGAAGAATCAACTTCTCTCTATCTCTCTCTCCCTCGCTCTATCTCTCTACCTATCCACCTGTCTGCCTCTCCACCTCTCTGCCTATCTATCTATCTATCTATCTATCTATCTACCTACCTACCTATCTATCTATCTATCTCTTGGGCCCGCGAAAGAATGGGCGGATCCGCCCCCCAAATTCCGCTGCAGGGTCGTAGGACCTCGTAGGAACGTCATCGGCGAGCTTTGTTCTGGCTTGGGATTCGTTTTAGGATTGGGGCAGGGCACGAGGAGAAGTGAAAGACCTGCCTCATGATGTTCGGGGCCTCGTGAGAAGTCCGAAAAGTTTAGGCCATCGCCCTGAACTAGGGTTTTCTCGTTCCATTGCAGCTACTTTGTCCTGGCTGCAGGGACTTCTGTGCCCTCAAACAATCAGAAAGGCCGGGATCGGCATTCAGGGCTTTTCCAGTATTTACTCAAATTTGCTGCTTCCGGCTATTGCTGTCCGCCTTCCTTCCATGGCACCTTTTCACTTCGCTAGGTCTTCTTCTGTAAGGCTACTGGACCTCTTGTTCGAACTTGACTTTGACTTGTGATACGTCTGTTCTTTGTCGTTATTTAATGTTGCTTTTTCGCGCTTAGATGTCCTGCCGAGGCTTCGAGACCCGGAAGGGACCAGACTCACGATGTGTATTGAGTGTTTGCGGGTGTCAGGATCTTCTTCGGAATGTCATTCGACTATGTCGGGGCCGATTTTTTTTGACAGTGGCGATTTCGTTGTTGAATCGCTGAGGACTCTAGGCTTAGGGTCCGTGAGAGAAGGGGGTCTGCGGTTTCGGGTTTTCATAGATGTTTCATGTCGAATGGTTCCACCATGAAAGGTCTGAATCGGTGGGTACTCTGGTTAACCTTTTGAGACTACCGTTATGGCATAGTCGAGGCAATTATTTCTAAGTCACGTCGGGGGAGAGAGAACCCTTCACTCAGGGCTTTCGGAGTTTCTTCCCCGGTGTGCCGCTGTTATGTCCCTGCAGCTTCAGACGCGACGATCATGTCTACCAGGTACTGATATTTCTTGATTGCTACTGTTCACTGTTGTCTTTACTCTTCACCAGCATAGTCTTCTGTCTAGCTCACCTAAGCTCCCGTGTTGCGCTATTGCAGAGCGTAGGTAGGCTTCAGGGGACTCTTGCATCGGCCAAGCCATGGTGAGCAGCTTTTCCAGCGGTGGTGGCAGCAAGGCCCCAAAGAAGGACTTGTCCCGTCCGCCTCGGCAAAGCCGCCCCTCAACAAACTTCCAAACTAAGCCTTAAGTCTTTTTCATTCATCTACACTCCGACACTCTCTTGACTCCCTAAAGTCCCTAACTCAAAGCCCCAAGCGGATTTCCAGGAGCATGTCGAACATGTCCGCTTGGCGGACGTGGAGGGCGAGATGAACGAGCTGGACAAGGCCCGGTTTCTTGGCAGGGGGCTTCTTCAGAAGAATAGCTTCAAAAAGAGTTAATACAAGGGGACTTTAAGGGTGTGTTGAGGGAGCTTAGGGGCCGTAGCACTCAGAATAGGGTTTTGGGATATGCTACAAACAAGTGGTGTAACTATAAGCATCCGCTCTGTCGGAGAGGAGCCAAGCGCAGAGGAAGAGGTCATGGCCTCCTCCATTGACGTCGAGGCTTTAGAGCGAAAGGCTGCCGAGCGCGCAGAGGAGCGCTTCACCTTCGGGGAGGCGACGCTGGCGGACCTCAAGTTGCTGGGAAGGAAGAAACGTAAGTTCCTGCCGTGCAAGGATGCCTTTGGTTTCACCTTCTGTGAAGGTATCGCAGAGGATTTTATGGTTTGCCACATGTGCTTACAGGTGCATGGCTCCATCAATGAACCGGAAACGCTGACGTGCAAAGCTTCGTCGGAATCAGACTTGGTCGTTCGTAGCTTTTCCTAGTGTCGATGCGTTTGAGGGTCTCAGGCATTTCCCAGGCCCCGAGCCTTGAACCCGCCGAAGTATGCCAGAGGGCGGCGTGCCCGAATTTTGGCACGGTTGCCTCGTGGGCTTAGTATTGGTTTTAGTGGTTCAGAAAGCCAAGCAGGGATGGCCGATAAACGGCGGTGGACAAGTTGTGGTTGACATCTAGGCCACTAGGAGCAACAAGTGGATGGAAGATAGTTCGTATCCTCGCTCGGAAGAACTTCATGTTGCATTCGTGGGGACATGTGCAGCCATCCTAGGCCGCAGGGGTCCAAAATCTGGTGTCCGTTCAAACTGCTTGTTGCTGGTTAGCACAAATTTCTCGGTCATTCGACCAACAGACCACGGCCGTCACTGCTTGGCACCATATGTACAAAGCTCGGCCCTTCCGACCGGCCCAAGAAACAGCCACCCTGAACTTTCAACCCTGATTCCTGCGCACGCCCTACGCTTTGCGCTGTTGGGACTTCGGCCTAACCCTTCAGCCAGCTCCCAGACTTGTGCCCCCCCCGAAGAGGGTAACTAGGTGTACCCTTTTGCCCTCTTTATTCTGGAGTAGTACGTCTCACAAGGCAGTAAAAGCATGCCCTTCACGTGAAGGGGATGGTACCTAAGTGCGGTTGAGCCTCACCTAACCTAGGGTACATAGTCGGCCCTACTTCATGATGGATAACTTACGTCATTCGGCAACATGTCTGGCCTTTGGTACGCGAGCACAATTCAAGTCCGACTTGATCGCTACCCAAATGCACCTTCAAGCCCTAAACTGCCCTGAATCCAAGCCAGACCCCATGGGATCCTATAGTAAGTTCAATCCAGCCTGTGACGCAACCCATCAACCCCAAGTCCATCAGTTCTAGACCGCAAATCTTCAAAACCCTAAACCCTAAACCCTAAACCCTAAACCCTAAACCCTAAACCCTAAACCCTAAACCCCAAGTCTGGAGACCCTCACTTCCTTTGGTTTTGCTCCCGAAAACCCAGCTTTGTTCGAAGGTTTTCCGGATTTTTTTCCTGGGACCGATCGTGTAGGGAAGAGTCGATGAAATAAGATCCGCGGCTGCCTCTGACAGTCGGACGAAGGGATTTTGAGGCTGAACGCGAGGAAAACACCAGAAGGTTCTAGTGGTGCTCCTTCCTGTTGCAGAATATCCTGTAGTCCCATGGCCTCTCATATTAAGCATGTGCATAGGGTTTGGGATTCGGCCTTTCTGATACTGACATGCGCTGCTTCCGGCTATTGTTGTCCGCCTTCTTTCCATGCCACCTTTACAGTTCGCCTGGTTTTTTCTGTAATGCTACTGGATCTTGTTCGAACTCGACGTTGACTTCTCTTGCGCAGAATGTTGTGATACGTTCTGTTCTTTGTCGTTGTTTAATGTTGCTTTTTCGCGCGGAGATGTCCTGCCGAGGCTTCGAGACCCGGAAGGGACCAGACTGCTGTTGTGTATTGAGTATTTGCGGGTGGCTCTTCGTCAGGATCTTCTTCGGAATGTCATTAGACTATGTCGGGGCCGATGTTTCTTGACAGTGGCGATTTCGTTGTTGAATCGCTGAGGACTCCAGGCTTAAGGCCCGTGAGCGATGGGGGTCTACCTTTTCGGAGTTTGAGTCGTTTCATTTCGAGCGGTTCCACCATGAATACTTATTTTTCATCTTGGCATCGTCGAGATACTTATTCATTTGTAACTCCGGGGGCAGAGAGAGAACCCTTCACTCCGGGGCTTTCGGAGTTTCTTGCCTGGCGGTCCGCTGTTATATCCTTGCAGCTGTGAGACAGCATTCCACACCAGGCCCGCTCAGACCCGACGATCATGTCTACCAGGTACTAATGTTCTCTTTACCACCATAGTCCTCTGTCCAGCTTTAGTAAGTCACCGTAGTCAACCACCTAGGCTCCCATGTTGCGCTCTTGCAGAGTGTAGGTAGGCTTCAGGGGATTTTTGCATCCACGAAGCCATGTTCAGCAGCTTTTTCGGCGGCGGTGGCAGCAAGGCCGCCGCAACCAAGCAGTACAGTCCATGATATAGAAGCCTACACAGATCGAGGGCCTATACAGTATTGTGTGCTTCTAGAGAATGTAAAGGAACCTTAAGGTTTTTCAAACAAGCAACTATTCAGGAGCACATGAACCCTGCTCTTCGCCAAGCATCAGAGGAACATGCAAGAAAAGCAGCCTTGTTTGCGATGGCTTCTTCGCGCACAAGCCTGGACCCAACACCGAATCCTCTAAGTCCTTGAACGCTACTTGACCCTCTACACGCCCGATTTCTATAGCCTGAACCCATAACGTGGAGGGTTCGAGGTCTAGGCCGAAGACCCCAGACAAGAAGACAAGATACAAAACGTGCGACAGGTTGCGCGGCCCAGGGTCGCCGCTTGAGAGTGTGTGGTAAAATGTAGAACCGTCATTGGCACGTCCCCTTCAGCCAGGATTCTGAAAATCATCCCACCATTAGTCAATTCCATATTGTGATGCTTAAGAACAGTTTCGTTAATTCCCGGTCTAAAGTGTTCAAAGTTGCCTTGGTAAGTAGCCACGTGGCAAACAGTCATTGCAACAAGCAGCAGTTCTGGCGAAGGTCGTTAGCCCCGAGACTCTCGAGCGAAAGTCCGCAATTGCAATCCCCTGCTTTTGAGCGTGCACCGCTCTTTTACTTTCCGGCTGCTGCGACAAAAGCCCCACAACATCAAGCCGTAAGTCCTAAACCCTAAACCCTTCACCCCACTGGGCTCGCAATCCGAAAGCCACAATTCCCTGAGCCCGAGCCCTGCAGCCCATGAGATCGCAATCCGCATCCCTACTGTGTGCGGTGCCGTAGGCTGCGGGGTTGCAGCCAGATCTCGAAGCTGGACGGCAAGGCACGGTTTAGGGTTTATGTTGATTCAGTTTTAAGGGCCAGGGGTTTAGTACAGTTTAGCTTGTGTCTAGGACGCTGGGATTTTTGACTGAGTTGGGGTTTAGCAGTTATCGGAAATACTTCGTGTCTCGATGCTGGAGGACTGGAGGGCATCGAATCAATCTGGTGGCTGATGCCCCCAAGCCCAACTGCACGTCTTAGGGGCCCAATGTTGTGCAAACCTTGGGACCCTGCCTGTAACTATACTGTTTTGTAGTATAGTACACCCCCAGGCCCAACTGCATGTCTTAGGTGTCCAATGTTGTGCAACCGTTGTCGACACCGTACAGAATCCCTTAATCAACCCCGTCAACAACTTGGGGACATTCTGCTTGGGCCGAGGGGCTCGTTCAGGTTTCCTTCATTTTCCCTGGCCTGGGGGTTGTGGTTTGGGGCTCCGGTCGCAGTGAGCATTAGTACTTGGAGGATCATGGGACTTAGTCAGTAAGGTTATAAGTCCCCTAATTGGGGTTATAATTATAGTTACCTTATTTATAACCCTAGTTACTAAGTCCCATGATCCTCCAAGTATGGAGGCATGGAATCCTTGTGGCTTGGTCGTTGTTTTGGCTCCCGGAAAGTATCTGCTGGTGATCCCCGTCAGAGAGCTGTATCCTATGAGTCTATCAACGACGGTTGTTTCAGGTTCCATCTGTCTCGTTTTGCTTGAACATAGCAGAGGATTTTGTAAGCTGAAAACCTGATGCGGCCGTTCCCCACCCCCCAGTCTCAGTCTGATCCCAGAGGTCGCGCTCGAGCTCCCCACTTTGGCAAGTTCAGAGTTCAGAGTTTAGGGTTTAGGGTTTTAGGGTTTTAGGGTTTTAGGGTTTAGGGTTTAGGGTTCAGGGTTTAGGGTGTAGGGTTTACAGGTTAGGGCTTCGGTTCAAGGGATTTTCAAGCCAACAGAGGTGGCGGTGGTGCTTTGGCCAACCTTGGCAGCGAAGCCTGGGCCCCAGATGCATCGATGGTCCAAGCTGATTAGCATGCGGTGGGCCCGAGAAGGAGAGAGAGAGAGAGAGAGATAGAGAGACAGGGGGGCTACCCTCTACACCCTAGCCCTGGCGAAAGAAAAGAGAGAGAGAGAGAGAGAGAAACAGAGACAGCGGGAGAGAGGGAGAGGAAGAGGGAGACAGAGAGAGAGAGAGAGAGACACAGAGTGTGAGTGTGTGTCTGTGTAATCAGCGACCTTTTACTTGCATGTGTTATCGCTATCTTCTATAGAACATGACAGACGGGCATCTAGACAGAATCTTATGACCAGGGTCGCTCTTGTTGGATCATCTCTGTTGCACATGGGCTGCGCCAAGTTAGTGTCCGCACCGCGCTTTTAGAGCTCTTGACTGCAACAAACCGTTGTCAATGCAGGCACATTACAAGGGAACCCCAAATTAGACAAGATCTTTACATAGCAATAGTATCCTTTTTGTACACATGCAGTAGCATCCCGTAGAGCTACATGTAAACCCCACCCTAGCAGCAAAGGAGCTAGCAGCTAGCCTGCCTCAGCCGACCTTGTCTTCCAGGATGTCTTCAAGCTGCCTCTGGACCGGGAGGGGTGGGTCCATTTCCATGACTTTACAGGGCTCTGCTCGGCTTAAATGGTTGTTACAAGGGCTTAAGGCTAAGGGTTCATGGTGCGAGAATCCAACAAGACAGAATTTAGTAAGGGCTCCGTATCAAGGGATCCAGGAGTGTCAGTATACTTCAAGTACTTTTAAAAATGCTTTTAAAAGTACAGTATCAGGGTTCAAGGATTGGGTTTGTGGTGAGGGTACGTCATATGGGGCTCTCTTCGGGTTTGATTTGATTGTCAGAGTGCAGGTATATACACCCTACATCGTATACATGGCCTTTTTCCTAGGCAATCCTTGATTCAGGCAAGCCGCCTTTGGTTCTGACTTCTCCGGATTGGCACATTCCCGGGGTCTTTGCCTAAGCCTGAGCCCAAACCCCGAACTTCGGATCTGAGTTGGAACCGGTGCTGCGACTGTGCTTTGCTAGTCGACACCTTCCGTCTGGGGTTACTGCGTTAAAATTACAACCGTATGGTTAACGCGTTTCGAATCGTAGTCGCAACTATCAGTGATCTTGAAGTTTCGATTCGATTCCCACGATCCTGTCACCCCCAAGAGTAGAATGTCCTCGCATTGGGTTGTCAGAGGAGCCGAAGTTCAAAAAGCTTGCTGATGCGAATCCCGTTGCCACGGGCAGAGACTTCACCCAAGGTTCCCAAGCAAGACCCGTAGTTGGCTACTTAGCCCTTAAATCGAGCACCCTAAACTAACAGCACGTTGCTGTCAGGATCCGTAAAGAAGAGCGCCTGGACACCTCCTCTCACATCGTAGAGGCCCCAGAAAACTCCCAGAGCAACATGAGCATGCTGCCTACACACACACACACACTATAAAGAACCGCCCACAAAACCCTCTGTATCAGCAACATTGCTACAACGTCTTGTGTCACCTGAACGCAGTGTTTGCAGGACAATGCGATAGAACCGCTCTACGAGACCGCTGACCGGCTGAAGGTCGTCAACCTAGGGCTTAGGGTTAAGTCGGGAAGTCGGCAGCATCGGTCCCTGAAGTCGTCGACACAAAGGCGATGCTGTTAATGACAACAGCGACGACAACGACCGCGGCAACAACGCAACATGAGTAGCAGCAGCAGTTGGATCAGCACTAAATAGCCATGTGTACGATGGGGCTGCTTGCACCCCTTGATAGTCTTATTCGCAGCATCATTCGTCCTGATTTTCTGTGCGAACATCAAGGAATCGATTACCAACCGATTTTCCAAACTATAAACCCGAATCCACATCTGATCAGCCACAAACCCGGTACGGGTAAACTGCAGCGCCGCAAGACCTGCACCGGAAGGCCGAGCCTCGATTGGGTAGCCCTACATTACACCCTGCCACCTGAGCTCCAAACCATGAACTCCAAGTGGGAGTTTCCTAAAATAAGGGGTACCTTTTTGGGGTCCTTATAATAAGGATCCTACTATTTGGGGTACTATCTTAGGGTCCCCTATTGTCTGAAACCCCCAAGTGCTAATGTACACCGTGCCTTCAGCGCCAGTTTGCGAACAAGAAGTCGGGAAGCTAAGCTGTTGAGGTTCCGACACCGGGATCCTGACCGCAAATGTCCTCACCAGACTTCAAAGCATTGGGTTGAAGGATGATGGCAAGCCCGGAAGCACCAAACCAAAGATCTTTGATGCCCGGGAGTGGGAGTTCGAGGTTTTTTGGGTTCAGAGTTTCAGGAACGCACAATCCCAAGTCTGGAAGCCGCAGCACCAAACGTCCTTGAACTCCGGAAACCCCAAAAATCTAAGCCTGAACTCCGAAGCCTCAATCCCTGAGATCCTGAGACCCGAAAACCTACATTTTCCCAGACCCTTTTTGAGGGGATCTTTGTGTGTTATTTTGGAATTCCCAACCCCAAACTCTAGCACCTTAACCCGCAACCACCTTGTCCCTCGAACCCTTTGAAGGGCTCCCAAACGAAACCCTAAACCCTGAGAGCCCTGAGAGCCCCGAATCCTCCGCCGTTCCGTGCTCGCGTCGGAGGCGCGGTTGGAGGGCCGGGACTTCGCCCGGTCGGAGCGCCTTTCAGCGGTTTCTAGGGGGGGTTTTAGAAGGGAGGGCTCGATAGGGTTCTGTCAGGGTGTGATTCGAGGCCCCTGGCCAAAAAGGTTCCGTGACAAAAACTGGGCTTGTTACAGGGCAGTTTCCATGCCAGATGCTGAGCAGAGCTGCAGGACTACAGTTAGCAACTGTTCCAGGTTCATGACGGTCCTTTGTCTCAGTCCCGATCCCAACTAAAGAAGGACTTGTACAGGCCACCTTTGCACGTCCGCCCCTCAGAAAACTCCGAAACGAATCCCCAAACCATAAAACTCATCTGACTCCGAAGCTCACTAGCTCCCTCAACTCCTTAAGCCCCAACCGCATTTCCAGGAGCATGTCGAACATGTCCGCTTAGCTGACGTGGAGGGCGAGATGAACGAGCTGACGATGGACAAGGCCCGATTCCTTGGCGGGGGCCTTCGCAAGAGGAATAAGCTTCCCTAGAAAGGGTGCCTTAAGGTACTGTGAGGGTTCTACAGGGGTGCGTAGTCAGTTTAGGGGCCTTTGCAATCAGAATAGGTGAATAGGGTTTTGGGTATGCTACATCTATAATTGCAATCAGGAACTCGATCGAACCCTAGGCAGGTGAATGGGTCTTTGTGGGTGTTCTAGATCCTGTCATGCTGAGCGTTATTATTCACCAAATCATCTGAGCTTAAAGAATCAAGCCGGGCACCGCAAAAACGAAAGCCTAAGCATCAGAATGCCGGTCTCCTGTGGCTATCCCGAAATCATGTGCTGGTACAGGGAGTGTCGCAGGAAGTAAGAAGAAGTGCTCATGTGGACGAGTCCTGCTTTGCATCAAGAATTTCTGCCGAATTTCTGGCATACTTCGTGAACAGCACAAATCCTCAGGCGGTACGAGTGTTGCCTCCTGCTATTGTCAAGGTTCGGGTAAGGCAGTATATATGGAGTTCGACACGCCTTGGTCGAACTTGATGCTTCTTAGATTGGGCTTTTGTGGTTTTGGTGGTGTGTTTGTGTCTTTTCTGCTCTTGAATTGAAATTCATCACCAAGGCCAGTGTTTTTCATACTTTTTTCTACGAGGAGCACAGTGAAGCTTCCGGATTCAGTAAGACTCTTCAGCTTCCAGACTACTCCTAAGTACAGACTGCTGGCCTCTCTCCGGGATCTTGGTCATGCCCAGGCGGTTCCCATGGTGTTTGCCATGAGTAACCCTAACCCCCCAGGTACCCACTATATAGGGTACTTGAGCCCCGGATCTATATAGTAGGTATCTGGGGGGTTAGGGTAATGATGTGGAATTCGGTGTGCAATTGAGTCCAAAGCGCAAGCTCCAAAGTCTCCTAAAGCCTACCTACAAGCCTGAGAGGATAACGACGAGTCCATCGATGCACTCACGAAAAAGTCGCTGGAGAGCCTCACCAAGAAGACAGCCGCTTCGGCTTTCATCATCATGACGATGGATGTGAGGATGCTGGTGCTGATGCTCGTGTCGACCACAATTGTGGTGAAGCTGGTGGTGACGAGGATTGATGTCGTCGATGACCCGGTTCGCCTGAAGCACTTATCGTGCTTGCAGTTGTTGCTCTCGTTGTTGTTGCTCAACGTGTCGCCATTTCGCATGCTTCCAAAACCATCGCCGCGTCTTGAATTTGACGTTACTTGTATTGTTTTTGCCTGGAGTACATCTGCGTTGCCATGCATTAACACGATCATCGCCAGTGTCAGTATCGTCATGTATCTCTTCCGCTGCGGTTTCCCTTGCAGCAACTTCTAGAAAGTTGGAAAGTTCAAGTCTCGTGCAATAAACGACGTAATTCAGCCCAGCCTTACATCCCGGCCGCCCGCCCCTTGAGTCACTGGTCCTGGCAAGCCTCCAGGATGCAGTCAGTAGTTCAGTTTGCTATATAGAGTTTAAAGCCTCACCGATTGTGCGAGCCTGGTTGCATCCGAAGGTTAAAGCCGTCTGTTTCGTGAACTCAGAAGCCATCCCCAATGTAGCTTCTCGCATGCTACGGCTATGTCACGTTGCGACCCGATGAATGCAATGCCAATTACTAGTGTTCTCGCATAGAGAAAGCATTGCGACTCCCTGGTAAACAGTAAGCTCAAAGAGAAACGGTGGAGCCTAAACCCCAAACCTCCCAAAAAAGGCCTGGGCCTGAGCCAACCTCTTCCACCCGCAACAAAAGGTAAGCAGCAAGATCAAATGAAACTAGGCCACACCGGTCTCTCTATCTCGATGAAGTGTCTATTCCGGTTCTTCTTCGGTCCAATAGAGCGACAGAGCCCAGTTTTCTGTGCCCAGGTCACGCGGACGAACAAAGGCCCGGCAGTGGCTTTTCCAGTTTTCCGGTTTAGAGCTTGAAGCGAGCGGAAACCTAGGATTGGGGTTTTTCGGGTGAGGAGGTCTTATGGGTGTCGTCCTCGAAACCCCGAGCCTCTTCGAGATGTCGGAACATGCAGGAACGTAGGGCTTTTGTGTATGAAGCTTGCGGTTTTTCAAGAGTTCATAGTCCTCTTTGATTTTGGGCCTTTGTTGAAGGTATACGGTTCAATACATGGTCTGGGCGACAAGCCTTCCTAGTACCGTGAGGCTCTTGCAAGAGCTGTCCAAGGGCATGAATGCCACGTTTTGCCAGATGCCAAGCTGCCACTGGATGCGGCGAGGATCTGCCAGATCGAGTCCGGCCGGCGCAGTTGTTCATCCCTACGTCAGCTTAAGCTAAACCCTGAACTCTAAACCCTTATAACCCTAAACCCTTGAAGTCCTAGCACATCTGCTGAATCCTAAGCCGTAGTCAACCATGCTGGAGACTTTCTCTCGGCTTCTGAACTCCTCTGCCGACTGGGTTGCAAGGATGGAGGGTTCGAGATAGCACTATCCCGACATCATGATCATCTTGTATCGTCTTCATCGCCTTCGTCTGAAAGAATATTGCCTAGAGTCTGACGAAACCCCGCACCGTAAACTTTATGCGGAATGGCGGATCCTCAGAGTGCCGCCGGAATCATACGTCACCCCGACCGGCACCTTGACTGCTGCACTCCATGGCGTCCTGTTGCCAGTTTCGGCACAATCTACCCTGCAATATTGTCTCACGGGCCTCGTGACAGATGCAAGAGTCGGCATCTCGCCTCTTGCTACAATTCTCATCATGCTTAGGCTTCACATCTATGGATGCTCTTCTTCCATTGTCGCTCCATCTTCGTCCCAACATGAACCCTGAAGCTGTTACGTGCACGCGCCAGGAATCGGCTGAAGAATGACCCATCCCTACAAATCGAGAAAAGGCCAGCGCCTGACAATCGGTCGTTTCCAGGGTTTAGGGCCCAGGGCTTACAGGGCTTACAGGTCGGGATTTATTGCGAAGGCTTTGTAGAGTTGAGGATGTCCGGGTAGTGTTGTGAACGGGGGGCCAATCAGGATTTCATTATCCACTAGAATGCCCTCCAACCTGGAAATTCCAGGCCGAATGCAGGCGTGTAGCTACAGGTCGAGAAAGTTTTCTCTGGCATCTGCAGGTACTTGTAGGTCTTAAAAGAGGAGGAGGAGGTGGAGGAGTATCACCGAAGTTCAGGTCTCTACACCCTAAGCACCAGCATCCCAATAAACAAGCGCTGACATCATGACAATGGCTGTGATGATCTGGGTCGGAGCATGCGCTTGTGATGCAGTAGGCCGTATCACGACAGGTACCTCGAAGGGCACCCTAACTTCAATCTTCGAGATCCCTTCGGAAGATCCAGGATCAAATAGGGTAAGGGTCCTTGTCTCAGGCCTTTTCTCGTGATTCATGTCTAGGACATTTTCAGGTGGGTAGTTCCCGTTATGGGAGCCTTATAGAAGGTCCATAGACCTTATAGAAGCCTTATAGAAGCCCTATATACCCTAAACTCCCCACCTGTAGTTTCCTTTAATCATGGGTTGGGTTTGGTTCCTTCAAGGCCGCTCTCACTGCTTGGAGATACGACGTGGAAAATCGCAGGGGTTAGCACTACTCCTCGGCACAAGGGGCTCATAAACGGCGGTCTAGGGTTTAGGGTTTAGGATTTAGGGTCATTTTCCGGTACCCGGCGACGGGGTATACGGTATACATACCTGTTCTGTCCAGGACGAAGCCAAAGCAATCCCCCAACTCCTAAACCCCTCAACCGTACATGCTAACCCCTGAGCCAAAGCTCTGAAGTGCACCAGACACCACCTCCCAAACCCAAACTTCCGAGCCGTGGATCAGATATAATACAGGGGTCTGAAGAATGAGGAGAGTGAGTTGTAAGATCTTCTTATGGTCCCTGTATAGTTATTATAGTACACGGCATTCTCCGAACCCGTCTTCGTGGAGGATCCCGTCACGGCTCTACAATAAGGGCATCACGCCTGTATATATGGAGGACAGGTGTTGGGATAATTCTTCTTGCGTAGCTACATAGCAACAAGTATAAGAAAATATACCCCCAAACCCTATTCCAACAATTAAGGCCCTTATATAACTCAGACCCCCACATTCAATCCAAGCCTCCTAAACCACACAAACCCCCAAACCAAAAAATCCCGTGACTTCAACTCTGACCCCTGACCAAAGGGTTTAATATAGGGGCCTTAATAATTAGAATAGGGTTCCTTTAAGGGTTCCTTTAAAAGTGCTGCTATAAAGGGTACTATAAGGGTTTAGGGTTTAGGCGCCTTAATAATTGAAATAGGGTTTTGGGGCCCATTATACTTTAATTCTAATGAGGAACGCCCCCAAATAATAGGTCCGATGGAACGCTGCTCTGGGAATTCCCGGCTTGGCCCTCAACGAGACTTTGGGCGACTTATAGGGGATCAAAATTGTAGGATGTTTTAGGGTTTAGGCGGTTTTGGGGCTATCATGGTGCATAGGCTTTGATTTGTTCCGGGTTCTTGTTTTTTGGGGCTTTAGGCTTCACGGCTTTTGGGTTTGATGCTATCGTGAGAACTCTTTGGGCATGGCGTTTGTCAGTCTAGCGGCTCTGGTGTTAGTTTGGAGTTTGTTGTTCCAGAGTTTGGATTTGGCGGTCGTTTCTGTCCTGTTGCTTCGAGCCCAGAAGATTTAACAGGCCATGCTTGTTTCGGAAACAGCAGCAAGTACGGAAGTAAAGAAGGAATCAGCATCTAGAACTTACACAGATCAATAACACCGCATGCTCTGCAGGGTAAGCCTCATAGACCAAACGTGCCCAAGCATAGTCTCCTGTCGAGGTACGTCAGATCAGTCTTGAAGTATCGGTGTCTTGGGATTGGTTTTCGAACTGTTGATTTAGAAGGCGTCGACCTGTGCTGTGCAGTCTCTCTGACTGCGGATTCCAGCACACTTCCAGACCCCATTTTGATTTGTGGGATTAATGTCGTTGTTCCCGTGTCGTCCTTGGTAGAAATATTTGTAGAAATACGCCCCAAACTCTTTTTCTGGGTTATCAAGGCCCCGATCTTTCAACCCCCCGCCCTCAGAGCCTGCTCTCAAAGCTGACATCTCCCAAGAAGTCCTAAACCCTAAACCCCAAACCCTAAACCCTAAACCCTAAACCCCAAACCCTAAACCCTAAACCCTAAACCCCCCAAAGGATCCTGCGGCCCAATCTTCGCTCTTACGCCTCGGTGCAGGAAAACCCGGCAGCCCACGTCAAGAAGAACCTCATCAAGTGCCCTGCCGGGGACGAATGGGGCAGAGACCAGCGTTTGACGAAAAGGCTAGAAGTATGGTTGCTATGCTATCCTAAGAGGGCCACACCATGACCCGATAGTAGCACTACCAGAAGCATCACCATCTGTATCAGTGCTTTGATCCTATGCTACTGCACGGTTTCGGATTCCAGGGTTGTTCATACAATGTACCTATGTGAATCCCAAGTTCCAAGGACTAGGTGTGCGTAGTAGCATTACAGTGCCTAAACCCACAAACCCACAGCCCCGAAACTCTACGATAAAGAGACCCTAATGCGTCAAACGATGCGCCCAGGACCTACCAGAGCATCAAAAGATCTGGCCACGACATGTCTCAGGTCTGCCACGACCTGATTGCCTTAAAGTTGAAATGCTCACTGTACCGCAAGCCCTGTCTGACCCTACTTGGAGGTTCCTGGGTAGTTTTAAGTATGGTTATAAGTAGGGTAACTATAATTATAACCTATATTAGGGGACTTATAACTCCACATTATAACTACCCATGAACCTCCAAGTAACCTTTGCAAGCGCGCTCCGACTTTTTCAGAACTCACGGCTCAGCCTTTGGTCCTCCACTCAGGGCCAGAGTCGCAGCATACCCGCGCTCTTAAGATCTGCTAGGCGGCCCAGGGAACGCGAAGCTTGTGCCTTCCGTAGAAGACATGGATGCAAAAGGCGCAGCTGTTGCGTTTGTGTCCTCTGTTGTAGATTGTAGAAATGACAATCTCAATCGTGAATGCTTTCCAGCAGGAAATCGCTTGCCAGGTCACTCTGCACCAGCTGGAGGAACGAGTGGAGATGCTGAAGAAGCTGTAACGGGACTTGAGGACACTGCAGGGTAGCCTGTGCTTGATGCACTTGAGCTACTGGTGCTGTGGCTTCTCTCCTTGCTGCTCTCGCCCTTCAATTCAGAGTGTTTCTAGTTCTAGACCGGTGAGGTGTTTGCGTTATTGCTTGTCCCATATGAACATGTGTTGAGCTCGTCTCAACTACACGTGGCGCTCGCATTGTACAGGGCGTCCACGACGTAGCCCATCGTTTAGGTTGTTGCACGCGTCGTTCGGCAAGATTCGCCGGACCATGCTGTCGAACCTTGCGACCACTAGGAGCCAAACGCTGTCTTCTAAGCTAGGAGGCGGAGGCTATCGTAGCCAGGCGTAATAGAAACGGGGCCATCACACTAGCAATATACTAGCTTCGCTTAAGATCGGACGTGTTCCTTGCTTGAACTGGAGTTCACCTTTGGGGGGTAGCTTGACGCTTGCAGCAGTTATCATGTTCAGTCCGTGCCAACGATCTGTTCCATCTTCCCATGCTCACTGCAAGTGGTCGCAAGGATTGCAGCACGTAATTTGCATAATGCAGATGCACCGATCCCCAGGAGACAGGGTGCAGTTCATCGACGGAACTAACTTTCTGATGTTCGCACCTCTGCGTTTTACAAAGGTTTTTCCCGTGGATCCCGCTCAAGCCTGCAATTCTGAAGACGAGAGCTCTAAACATCTTGCACCTTCGACTTCTAGACTTGTCACTACCTGGCGGCACCACGTTACAGGCTAGACTCACGGAGCTGACCCGACGTCTCCGGGGCAGATCAAATTCTTGATCGCTGAGGTGGTAAAGGCTGCTCAGCCAAGTGCTGGGACTCTGACACCCGAGAATTAGGAGCAACCAGATCAGCATAACGTCAGAGCCTGCATAGTGGCTCAGGGTTTCAGGGGTTCGAGTTTAGCGCTTGGCGGTTCAGGGAGGGCGTGGTGGCGGCGAGTGTACTGGTTCTTGATCTGTATGTCATGTTTGATGTGAGAGATAGTTTTTGCAGGGTTCATCTTTATTCCCAAAACAGCACTGTATTGCTCGTAAGAGCTGCTTCGGCAGCAGAACCACGAGGTGGAGGAGGAGCAGTGGTAGTGGTGGTGCTGGTGGTGGTGCTGTTGTCGCAGGTGAAACCCGAAGCCTGCTACACCACAAACCTCTAAACCGGAAGACTCTACTTCGAATTTGGAGGCCAGTAGCCAGGACGCTTGATACACTTCCGAGATTCTGACGGCTTGTGAGACCGGAACATATACAAGCCTCAACAGCTAGCAATGTGTGTTCCCCAAATACCTAGGCTTCATATTGTGCTATCATGTTGTTTTGAGTCAAGACATGATGCTCGGGGTACAGTCGTTTCACGAGTCCCAGGGAAAGACTTGATGTCTCCGACCGGCACCACTTCGCTCATGGTCCCCAGAACCGTAGACGATATCCATTTCTCCTTACTAACTACTACCTTCAAACTGCTGACTACCAACTCGTAGCTCCTAACACCGCACTGCTGACTACTAGCACTGCTTCCTGCTATCAGAAAACAGTTTTCTTTCCAGAAACTACTCACAACAAACTGCGAACTCCGACATGCGAGCTGCGAGCTATGAGCTACTAACTATCACTTACAAAGTCCCAACTACTGACTACAGGTTATTCTTGCTTTGTCCTACTACTCGCTACAACAACAACAACTACTACTACTACTACTACTGCTACTGCTACTGCTACTGCTACTGCTACTACTGCTACTACTACTTCTAC